CTTACCCCATTCGGCAAACATGTTAGCCCGGACTCTGGGATGGTATGACTGTTTTGTTTATGTATCCCATCCCAGGAAAGATTTCCCCTGTATCTTAGCATCTCTTGATTCTCCTCCCGTTTCTCCGCCGGCCTCACCGTTCGTACAAAGCTCCTGCGAGGTATACTACCCAGTCGGGAAACATGCATTTTGGATGATGAAATGTGCATCAGCGGGGAAAAACCTCGACGCCCAATTTCTGCCCCCAATGACTCGCAAAAACACCCAATGCCTTACGGAGAACACCGAACCCAGAGATACCCGCGAGCAACGTCCAGCGGCATGTTCTCGAGGCTGGCGAGACTATTCTTGCGGCGAATGAGGGCGCGGTCCATGTTGTTGGGTGCTATGCGGATAAAAATCGGGGAGCATGGCAGGGGACTTGCGTTAGATCTCACGGTCGGGCGTATATAATATTTATATACAAGTGTGCAGCACACGGACATGTTCATGTGCCTGCCATTCAACCCCTCATCATCACCACTTTGACTCCGCTTTCGTCTCGATCATGTTTGCAATCAATCTCCCAATTCCATATCATGATTAACTCCATTGAAAGTGTGTAATTTCTTTATTTTTCTAATGAGAGAGCAGCCAGTTGGATAAGATAAATATACCTTTTTGCGGGTACTAGGGAGGGGGGGCATGGCCTTAAAGAAGACGTTGCCGAGAGCAAAGGCAATCGGTTTTCTAGAACAATTAAACAATTTCCCCTGCCTCGAGAAAGGAAACGGCGTAATGTATTGTAGGGGATTGTAGGGACCTCCTCTCCCTCATCTCCCGGTGTGCCAGAGGAAGCCACAGGGCCAGAAACGTGTTCTGCCAACTCGTATTCTCATTCTCCTTGAGACATAAAGTCTATAATTATAATGTGGAATACAAGGGTGGATCTATATTTGTTAGCTTTCTTGGACGATCCCGTCCATGGTCGAGTTCGTAAAGCTCCTCCGATCTCAAGGTGACTTTCTTGGGCCTGCCAAACATGAAAAGGGAAAAAAGAAAGAAAGAAAGAAGAAATTAAAATAAAGAGAAAGAAGGAAAAAAGGAAAAGTAGAAGAGATGTGTTGATGCCTCAGCCGCGACTCGAACGCGGGCCTCTTGCTGATTTCAATTAACCTTGAATTCAATGGAAGGCAAGAATCCTAACCCCTGGACCACTAAGGCGTTTCTTGTTGAATACACCAGGAGAAAAGCCATATTATATGCACCTCAGAGTGAATATATTTTTTTTTCTCCCATGGCTTGACAAAACGACAATGAAATCCCATGCAAAAATAGTATCACACTACCCCAGAGAAAAAATCGATTGTATTTTATTAAGATTAAGAGTTTGTTTGGTTTTTCTCGGGGAATACTTTCTGGCGGATAAAGTAGATACTTCGTAACTATAGAATTTCCCCTAGGCGTTGAGAACTGGAACTGATCACCGCCATGAAAGATGAAAAAAAATCTAGTGACTATCTAGGCCGAGCCGTTTATTGTGTGGGAGCCTAGGCTTCCTATATATCCCCTGGTAGATAGCAACTAAATACAACTACTCAGACCTCTAACATATAGAATCTTAACAAGATATTGAAGTACTTTTTCGACTCCAATATGAATTACGAGAACCGTTGATTGATCTTCAAATGAAATGGTGGAGGGATATGCCGCAGGTGGCCAAGATTCGCCGGATAACATTTCTAACGACTCATCTAAGATCCTATAGTACACGGAACCACCCAAGGAAAACCATTTCAATATCAATCAGGAGCACGATCCCAGAACCAACCCTTGCTGCCCTCGACTTCGTCTCCAGCGATTACTCAGCTCAATCACTCTGGTCTCAAACGCCCACCACCACCGCTCAAACACTATCTGCCCGACTTCCCACACATCAAGCTCAAAGGGGTCTCGGCCACTCACCCGCATCCCCTCAGAAGGGTCCTCAATATCATACACCAGATTCATCATAGCCATGGGATGAGATGCGGAAGATGGTCGTAGGTGAGCTGGCATACTGAAAACCTGGATGAGCTTGTCGCGGGTGGTGGGCCAGGGAAAGAGGTCGAAAATTGGATGATGTGGGATTAAGCGCTGGGTGGCGGTTGGCTGGAGATGGGTAGGTAGCTCTTCTAATGATGCCCTGGCAGAAGGAGAAGAAGAGGGAGGAGCAGGAGAAAATGACGAGGAGGGAATGGAAGACGGGGAAGCGGAGCTAGAGGACGGAGATTTGAGTCCCGCTGGGCCTGTGTAGAATGGACTGACAGCGTCCACCTCCAAAATTACATCCTTGAGTCGCAGTCGCTCAGCTATAGCGAGCATGCCTCGGAGAAGGGATAAGGTTGGTATTTCGATGGTGTGGTCGTCTGGGAAGGTGAATGTTGTAGTTTGGTGGGATTGGAGGGTTGCGGAGAGATCGCTTGGCGCGAAGTCTTGTATACTAAATGGATTTTGAAGGAATTGATAAGGGAATGCCTCAGGTTCAGGAGAGGACGGAGCAAGTGACAAGAGAGTTTCGAAGCATGAATGCGACGCCATGGCTACTACCGACGAGGATGAGGATAAGGAAGGCGGCGATGAGTTGTTCATCATTAATTCTGGAGCAAAACCCGGAAGTTCAGATTGCTCGAAGAAGCTGGATCCAGAGCTGGAAGAATCTATGGCCTCCAGCGAGTCCAGGAGTGCCTCCTGAACTCGATATATGGTTCCCGGTGACGCGGGGGGTTCGTCCGTCGTATTGGCCTCCATTGCTTCTGATAGTGGCAGGATGTCGTATCCTGACGGGTTTTCAGGAGTGCTTTCAGTTGAAAGAGGATCAACAGCCGTTGGTGTGCGTCCTTGGCCATTCTCGTGTAACTTAGCTTCCAGTGTAGCTAGATATTCCCTCTTTCGTTTTCCTAGACGCTGAATTAGACCACGTCCTGTGTCATCGTGGCGAAAATATGATATTTTGCTTACTGTAACGACGCTGTGCGAGAACATTCAAAACCCGTTTCCTCTCTGCAGCGTCATTTGAAATGTCCGGAACTGCGGGGTCACTGGGCTTGCGACGTTGTCTTTTGGGAGCCATCGTCCATTCTATATCGCGCTTCCAAAAGCTCCTTGTCTCTCTCAGTCAAACGCCGAACGGGAGCGAGGTGGTTTAATACACAGAGCCTCTCAAATAACGGAAGTTATCGCATGTAAGTAGTATGTTTATTTAAATGAGCATTTCCTTTGCGAGAATCAAACTTTAAGATTTGGGGTCTGGCGCTTGATTATAATATATAGCTCGCCTCAAGGAAAGAAGAATACGAGGTCCCATCGCCGCCAGTCTGAACATAACGTTATGTTCTTGGCAACATTTTCGCAAGCATTGTCCAAAGGATGTCATTATCATTGTTAAATAATATTATAGTAGGATGTATTTTTTTTAAATAAGATCCTGTAACAAAGCTCTGTGAGCATGAGAAGTTACCGTCCGCGGTGACTTCTCTAAATTTTCCAATCATCTGCGGCTGGTACATAGCCAGATAACAATTCGATAATACGAAATTTCAAGGAATGGATAAACGAGGATCTGGCCTTGTTCGTGGCTGCAAGTACGAGGCAACAGTTTGAGAACGCCGTACGACAAAATGTTGTCCTTTTTCAAGCGAAGACCTCATCGCACTTGTCGCGCGCCGATTGATTGGGTGTTGGAGTGGAATATCAAGAGAATACACACCGGTGACAGGCGTCGGAAAGCAAAGTTAGATATGAGTGATGTTTTTGACGTTACCCAAGTATGAAAAGGCGAATTACTTGACATGGAGCACATCCGCACCCTTGATCCCAATTATTTTGATATTATTCCGACAAGAGAAACGATGGAACAAGTGGCTGTCACTTTCTGGACAGAATATACTCTTCCCGTGCTGCTAAATGATTCGTTTTCTCTCGCTGTTCACAAACTCATGGGGTAGGTCGAGCAAAATCACTCCGGATATATTTAAGATGACTTTTTAAGTCCAAGACGGGCCAATGACAGGTTATCTGGCTCCCGCAGAACATGTTTATGGTCTCATCGTGTGCCCAAGCCCAATCTCCAATTGAAAACATTTTACTAGTGCTTCAGCGAGACCCGCGAGGATAGCATAGCGAATTGGATCAGGCTCCTTCGGATCCTCAATTCTATGCAAATTCTATCGAGTCTGGTTCTAGTATCAAAAATAATCCGTCTCCAGGCCCATTGGTGCATACTCTCCCGATGCCATAGATTCATAAAGACGATATAAAGAATGCAGAGGATATCTCGTGAACGCCCAACTAGAATGTTGCGAAGTGTAATTATATTGTTTTTTGAGCCATCATCAAGGGGACGTTTCCCGACATCTGCTTGGCTGGAACAGCTTCGGTGACTGGATATAACCATGATCGAAAATAAGTTGAAAAGTCATAAAAGGCAGATTCGCGGCCGGGAATTGCCATGCCTTAATCTGACAATGCTTGCTTGTAGTTTAAGGGTGATCTATAATGGATGATAGTACGTTAGTCAAGTCACAGGAGAGAAAGGGAGTTTGCGTCGTTGCGGGAATGGGTCAATGGTGGATATAGCCGGCAATCCGTTGGGCGACGGGGTAAGGTGATTGCGAGATATCCTAGTGCTTTTTATTTTGAAACACGGCCACGGTGCTCTAAGTTTACTTTATGCTTAGGGGAATTGTTGGGTAAAATCTTATGATGACTAATCAGGGATTTATCAATCATCAACTTCTTGTGCTTCCTAGTGAGCATTTCTGCTTTCTTCTGCCTTTCTTCTGCTTTCCCTCATGTTCTTTTGACGTTACGATAGCGCGATAACCCAATTCGAACATGGGGAGCCATCATGGCACTTGTTAGAGATGTTCGTCTTTCAAGGCGATTGGGCTGGGTTCTCCCCCACCCCCAGACAAGGAGGCTCTCTACCCTCACTGCCCAGAGCTGGTCCTATCCACCCTCGGTTTCTGACGTTGCCAAAGATGAGGTGACGAGGCTCGCGTCTAGTCCACGGCGTCCGTTGACGCTCACAGACCTCCTCAAGTAAGCCAAGATATAATGTTTATATCATATATCAGACGCACGGAGCGGTGGTGATGGGTCAACTGACAATATCATCATAGACATGGACGCCCGCCCCTCTCACAAGAGGCCCTCCTCGCATCAGCGAACTTTACCCTCTCATTACTTCCTACTCGCCTAGCCTACCGGATCCAAGCACTGAGAAATCTTCCGTTCATTGTCGTGTCCAATCCGCATATATCTAAAATATACAACAATTATCTGCATTCTCTTTCGACCCTTCTTCCGTATCAGCAGCGACGCATTACTACCATGGAGGAGGAGATACAGTTTACAGATGTCATGGCTGATCTTGTCCAGACCCATACAAATACTATACCCGTGCTGGCACGAGGATTTCTGGAATGTAGAAAGTATATTAACTCCGCCGAAGTCACCAAATTTCTTGAAGAACACTTGCGAGCCCGAATCGGTACCCGATTAATCGCCCAGCAGCATCTGGCATTACATATGGCTTCACAACCACCATTAGATGGTACGAAACAGGGATTGACTACACTACCAAACTACATTGGAGTAATCGATACCGCGCTTCGGCCCGCACAGTTGATTCGAACATGCGAAGAATTTGTTGCGGAAATATGTGAGCTGAAATATGGCGTTCGACCGCGTCTTGTGATTGACGGAGAACCGGATGCCACTTTTGCACATATACCTGTTCATGTGGAATACATCATTACGGAATTATTGAAGAATGCCTTTCGGGCAGTTGTGGAATCGGGCAACGAACGTGAGCCTGTGGAGGTCACTATCGCTGCCGCCCCAGACGTGCCAGACCACCATGTGCAAGAGCATTCCCCAGGAGGTGGGAAGCCATTAGATGCTGAAGTGGATTTCCGTATTGGCAAGGACATTGGGGAATTACCTGACAGAAATGAGCTGCTTGCTCCCCTTTTCTCCCCAAGTCAAGGTATCACGATCCGCATCCGTGATCGTGGAGGCGGAGTACATCCCGATCTCCTTTCTAATATCTGGTCCTACAATTTTACCACATATAAAGATGACGATATTCCAAGTGGAGACAATGGAAACATTGACGCGCTCAATGCTTTCTCCGGTAGCGGAACCAATACCAGTAGCATCGCTGGCCTTGGCTACGGGTTACCCTTAAGTAGAGCATATGCAGAATACTTCGGTGGTAGTATTGCATTGCAGAGCCTGTGGGGATGGGGAACGGATGTATATCTAACTTTACAGGGTGTGGGAAAAGTTGAATAGTACAACAGATCTATTTCTATATTGAAATGGCGAAAACTACTTATCTAACGATGACAGGAGACTTAAAAGAAACTGGGCTGAATCCTCCCATTTGTCCGATCTGATAACCTCTCGGGAATGATGGCGTCATATACACGTTTAATCCACGCACAGCAGATCGAACGTGTATCTTTGGGGTCGATAATCTCTTCTACCCCAAACGCATTCGCCGTCCTAACGGGATTCATGAGGCGAAGATACTCCTCCTCTAGCTCCTTGTATCGTTCTGCCTTTCTTCCGGCCTTCTCTGCCTCTCGCAGTTCATGCCGGTGGCCAACTTCGATTCCGCCGTCCAAGGGCAGCGATCCCCATTGCCCGGAAGGCCAGGCACATTGCATCACGGGATCTCGACATCCAACCATAATGCCTCCAGCCACACCAAATACTCGCCTTGTAATGACACTGAAAATTGGCATTGTCGTGGAAAAGTAGGTTTTGCCAAGCTCTACACCCCAGCGCATTGTCGCAGTCCTTTCAGCTACAGTCCCAATAGCATATCCGGCTTCATGATTATCAGTAAGATGCTCGTCAGTTTTTATTGAGGAGGAAGTGTGGAGAGTACTTACGGACGTCGACGAATTGAACAAGCGGGAGGTTCATCACGTCACACAACTTCAAAAATCTCGTCAATTTCTGGCTTCCGGCTGCATCCAACGCGCCGCTGTTTACCTCACAATTTGAAGATACAATTCCTATGGGACGACCTCCCAGCCTGGCAAAGCCAGTGATGCTAGTCGTCCCCCATAATGCTCCGATCTCGAACCAAGATCCTTTATCAACAACAGATGTTATGATGGTTCGGGGATTATACATTCTCGTTTGCTTCCTTGGTATGATTGTTTGAAGCCAAATATCCTCTCTGTCTTCTGGGTCGCTGCATGGAACTGTAGGTGGTGCCTCGCTGCCAGAATTGGGCAAGTATCCAAGAACAGTTCTCAGTTGCTCAAAGCATTCTGCCTCGTTTGCGGCGAGGTTATCTATTGTGCCGTTTGTGCAATGCATCATGGGACCGCCCAGGTCCTGGAAATCGAGACCCTCCTCAAACGTGGCGCCTTCAACGACCTTTGGGCCGGCGTTGAACAGAGCGCCCACGTCTGCAGCCATGACTGAAAAGTGACAGGAAACGACTCTTGCAGCCCCCAGTCCGATCTACTTACAAAAAACATCTCAAATTAACATTCGGATCGATCAGAAATTAATTTCCAAAATTTTAGTGGAATC